GTTGTGGCACCAGCCTTGGTGAAGCACGGACGGGACACGGGAAGAGAGCTCGGCTGTGGAGATTGGCTCTTGAAGATGAATGTGAGTTGCGAAGCACTTCCCCGCGCGCCATCTCCGGTACAGTAACGGGCTAGATTACTCTTCGGGCTATCCAACACAAACCAAATCAGTGAAATATTTTCCTTCACACATATTGGGAGTCATCGTAAAAATCGGAGATTTCTGGACGGCAGAGTGGGGCGGTACAGGCGGACTAAATTCCATATCCGTTTGCCCGTGCGTTTGAACGAACCATCGAGCTTGCTATCATGTATGAGATACTGCATTTGACTGAGACTAGTATATCATGATGAAGAGATATGCGTTTGCAAATGTTGGTTTAGGTGATGCGCTTGCATATTGTATTAAGTAAGCTAGGTTCCACAGACTCACAGTGCCCGAAGGGATTTTAGCTACATCACAGGGCAGGTACCCGTACCTCGTCCAAGAAGTACGAAGCAACCATAGCTGACTTCTCTTGTCTTCATTCTTAGTAGCTAACCTTACAACTCGCGCCTACAGTACTTACATCCGGCCGGCCCTCTGTTTGCGGTAGCTTGTTTGATGGTGACCACTGACCAATCCTCGGAACTATGTAACGCGTAGGTAGTTTCCCGTTATGGATGTGTCAAGTCCAAACGGCGCTCAGCAGTCCCTCCCGACTTCCCGAAGCCAGCAGGTCGTCGTGTGAGTCGAAGGACAAACAGGCCTCCAAGAGGCTACCTATTTGATATGCTGAGAGCGGTGATGTGTAGGTAGTTTTCCGGGCTACCTAAGCGGTGAGGGGCCTGCCTTCAGACCGATGAGTGTCCAAGTGTCTATCAGACCATTTGCAAATACTTGCAAGAAGTTGATCGACCAACACCTGGTACAAAAGCGCTTCGGATATCCTCATAGCGACTGGGCAATGCAATTGGATTTTGTTGTCTCCCCTACGCATTGTTTGTCTTGTCCACAAGTCAACGGCCGAACCCCACGATAAACTAAAGCCCAAGTCTGACTTTGTTATCCGACCTTGTTTCTCTACACATACCAAGAGCTCATTAGAAGGCGGCGCTTCCTGCCCAGCCAGCCATGGAGACTGGGACAGAGCACAAGGTTAAACTTGATGCAACGGCGCTAGATAATCTGAGCAGCGCCACATCAAGTGCCCTACTCGACACGATAGATGGTATACGAGAACTTGGCATCGGCGAGCTCGTCAACCTTCCTCAAATCATCGTGGTCGGAGATCAATCTTCCGGCAAAAGCTCAGTGTTGGAAGCCATTTCTGGACTCCGTTTTCCTACTAAGGGTGATGTATGCACTCGATTTGCTACCGAGTTAGTAATCCGGCGAGCGCCCGAGATGAGAATAGACGTCAGGATCAACAGTGCTACTGGGAGCGCATCCAGGCAATTCCATCGGTCTATCTTCAATGCAGACAGCCTGCCGGAGATTATCGACGAAGCTACAGGGGTGATGGGCCTGGATACAAGCGATACCGAGGGCTTTTCACGCGACGTACTTCACGTCGAGATCGCAGGCCCCGGCCTCCCGTCGCTTACCTTGATTGACTTGCCAGGCTTCTTTCATTCCAGCACGGCGGAGCAGACGTCAGAAGACCAGCAGATTGTCAACCAACTGGCTGGGCGCTATATGAGCCAGCCGAACAGTATCATCCTCGTCGTTGTGGCAGCGAACAATAATCTTGCTAACCAGATTGTCCTCAAGGAGGTCAAAAAGTACGATCCTGACAGGAAGCGTACTATCGGTGTCATCACCAAGCCTGACCTCGCCGGCACAGGGTCGCAAAACGAAAAGAAAATGCTCGAGCTTATTCGCGGCCAGGAGAGCGCTCACAGGTTGAACCTCGGCTGGTATGTCATACGCAACCGCCCAGAGGGCCGAGAACGGATGTCGATGGAAGAGCGTGATGCCGAAGAGAAAGAGTTCTTCCGAGATGACATTTGGTCTGACATATCAGACAGCTGCGGCATTGTTCACTTGCGCAAAAAGCTTAGCGAAACTCTTCCGAAGCACATCCAGAGGACATTGCCAGGTCTGGTGAGTGAGATGGAGACTGGATTATCCGTCCGCCAGCAGGCCTTGAGGAAGCTTGGCAAGGATCGCTCGAACGCGGAGGACCTGCGAATATATTTGCATGACATCGCAGAAGAGTTTCAACGCCTCCTGCGTGAAGGTATAGAAGGCCGATACGGTGCCGAATTCTACGGCCCCAAAAACCGGAAGCTTCGAGCTTTACTCAGGGGCACTCACAATGCTTTCCATATCACTCTCGTCAATAAAGGCATCGATCGCCTAATTGAGTGGGAGGATGAAGCGAGGATCTCCTCAATTAAGAATATTGGCTGGACGTGTGACGAAGACAATGTTCCCCGACATTTACATTCATTTCTTCAGCCATTCGAGGATTTCCCCATGCCTACAACGATCTCCGAACAGGATCTTGCAGAAGAACTAGAAGAGGTAGCAGCATCAAATCAAGGTGGAGATTTATACATACACCTCTTCAAGAGGCAGATACGGCCATGGATGGGCATTGCCGAATTCTACCTCGAGCGAATCTCTAGCGTTGCTGAGGCATTCATCGACGAATTGTTAAGGCACGTTATAGAGGGCGATGAACAGACCTACGAGGCCATCGCTACTGCTTACCTTACTCCCTTTTTTGCAAGTAAGCGAAAGCTGCTGAAGCTAAAACTGATGGAGATTCTTCGACCATACGAGGACGAAAACGGACCTGCTCTAGACCTTGAACTTCACGAGCGACTCTTGCCAATTACTAGAAAACGAGAGGCGACGCGCACTGCCTGCTTCCTCCAAGGGCGGTTTCCATCTCTTTTCACCGACAAGCATGACCCGCCGATTACTCGCGAAAAGGTAGAGGAAAAATGGAACGGCGAGGACATGGTTCAAGAAAGCCGACTTGTTGCCGAAAAGGCCCTCGACATTGCAATGTTATACTTTACAGTATGAGGCCCTCAGCTTAGCAGTTGTTGAATTCTCCGAATACGCACACACCCATATGTGAACGAATTACTTACTTCTCTTTTCTCTCTAGATGTCCCTCGGGACCTTTGCCCAGAACGTGGTGTGCCTTGCCGCGGGGAATTGCCTCATCTCAGACCTGTACAATATCCTCACGCCTGCCATGGTTGTGCGGATGGACGAACAACGCCTACGAGAGCTTGCATCGGAATCCGTATCCATAGGGGATAGGCGACAGGCTCTTCAACGCGAGATCAACATCCTCCAATTAGGCCTTGAGAGGTGCGACCGACATCGTCTGAACACGATGAAGACAGGTTCGTCAAAGAATGTTTGCTCCAGAGACTATATACGTAGTATCTGGGACTCGCTGCTAGCTGAGGCTCGACTAACGTTTATACACATTTAGAGCTTCCAATACGCCCCTTGGATGGCACCGATGATTAAGCGCCGTTGGGTGGTGGACGTTAGGCGGCGGATGACTCAATGTACGGTAAGTAGTCCAGGTTACATAACTCGGCTCCAGGGCTAGTCAAAGGGATTATCAGTCAATCCTACAGAATTGTCGAATGACAAGGTATCGATGAAAGAACAGGACAAGAGTGTCATATTACAAAACAAAGGCGGATTGTCTAGTTGTGGCCGCTAGGGATATACGGACAATGCTTGCCTTGTGCACATTCTTCTGTAACAATCAATAGAAGGAATAGAGCAGAATATAAAAGACCGAAGGCTCCTATTTCATGGTGTTAGAATATATTCCTGATCGTATTCATGTCTAATTGAGACCAGCACTTTATATCCTACGCAAAGTATCGCAGATTCTTGAAGAAATAAAATTTGAACCACATACAGTACTAATACCACAATGCCGCACCGTCAAAGCATAGATACAGCCCAGGACGGGCTAGATGCAACTCCCGCATCCTCTACCCCCCAGAAGATCACCGTACTGAAACCCGCCTCAAAGTCAGCCGAACCAACACAACACAGATATCGCATGACATTCCACCACATCGACATTGACGAAACCACCAACAAACCATTCCCTCCAGCCCAGCACGCTTTTGATTTATCCGTACCTATATGGTCTTCTTCTCCTTCTTCTTCCTCTTCACCAGCACGCAAAGCCCCAACCCTCACCGAAAACCAATATAAATACACCCCCCACTGCTGCCCCCCATCCTCATCATCTTCTCCTTCCCCGGGGAAAGAAATGAGCTACATAGCGCCCGCCGATAAAGCCTTTAGCTATAACGACGAGATTCTGGAATTCTTACTCGATTCCACGCGCCAACGAGTCGGGTCAAGTTTTGGAAAACATCATGTTCTTTATATAGAGAGTGCGGATATTATTTGGGCTTCACGGGACAAGGGGAATAGGGGAAAGAGAAAGGGGCATTCTTCTGCTGTTACGATGGACCATCTTGCCCTTGTGAGGGAGAGGGGCCATGTTGATCATTTGAGGGTTGAGTTTAGAGTTAAGCGTGGGCGGGATGGGGGGTTTTTGGGGAGGTTTATGAAGAGGTAGTGCTTTATATAGGAGACGGGGGAAGGGGGAAGAGGGAAGAGAGAGAGAAAGTATAGGTAGGTAGATTTGATTTATAGAGATTGTTTAGATTTGTGGAATTAATGTATACCTCAGTCCTCATGTATGACTGACCCCTTGGTGAAGTATCTTACCCTAGACGTAGACGCCTTTTCTCTCTTTTGGTTTAATGAGGTCTTGGCAGGTTGTCAATGTGACATATCTGACACTAACAAACTAGGTATCTAACCTGCTCTTTCGAGACCGAAATAAGTACATCTCTGATCTCAATAAATCGACCATTAATCGATGGTTGTTTTGCCCTTGAGTTTGAAGAACAAACGGCCATTGTCTGTTTTGGTTCCGGGATCGGAGCCGAGCCGAGCCGAACCGAGCCCCACAGAATATAGATCTGTTTTGGCGGTGAGACTGGCAACTAACTGGGCCTGTAGCTCAGGGGTAGAGCGCTCGCTTTGCATTTTCTTCAAAAGATGGCGTTTGCGAGAGGCCTAGGGTTCAAATCCCTACCGGTCCATTTATTTATTATTCATCACAATGGTTGAATTTTTTTTTTGGCCCTCTTTCTTCTCTTTTTATGAATTGTTGCTGTTTATCACAGGCAGGTTTTTTTTTAATTCTGAAGTGAATTTGTTTTAAGATACCTAATCGTCTCCTACCTATTATTTTACTTGTAAAAACACTATGGCCGGCAGGGCGTACAACTTCTCGCAAGAATTACCTACCGAAATGCAAGCAAGACTTTATGTCGTGCATAGAAGTGGGGTTTCTGGTAGAAATTGCTTTGTTCCGCCCGTGTCGTGGCGTGTCTTACAACACAAACGTGAAGTAGAAACTTTGGGACAGATGCATTGACGTAGGAAGCCACTGTCATGCATCGTTGACGCAAGGTTGCAAGCTTCAAGTTCCAATCGAGGCGAATTCATGCGATCAGACCTTTCTCTACTTAAGCATTGATCGCAGAGTAATAGGGAAAGCGCATGCAACGTTGCGGGAGAATCTGTGTGATGTAATAGGTAATGAACAAACCCCTGATCGTGGTGGGGAATACTCAAAAGCTATAGAAAGCAGGAAGTAGCGTCTTGACTGTCTCTTGTCCGAGTGTGAGTGAGTCGGGGACGACCGGCCGACCAATGGGGAGAGTAACGGGTTAATATCTAAGACACCTGACCTCGGTGTGCCTGTCACTTAAGGTACGTGTAGGTAGGTAGGTAATGAGGCAAGTTTCATCACCCCGCGACAAAACTCATGACTAAGATATGGACTCTGCTCTGACAAGTTAGGGTTATAGGTAATTAGCAAAGATCAGGTCCATCTGCTTGCAGGTGAGCTCGGTGGTCTAGGTACTAGTTAGGTAAATCCCCTCATTTCAGATTGACGGGCAACATTCAACCTTCCTCTGCCAGTTTCACAAATCCACATAGATACTAGTCTATCTGGGTACACGGCTTATACGAGGGACCTTGAAGATTATAAGAAAAACATCTTTCCTACACGTCCATTCCCGGACGTTTTTACCCAACAGGTCACAGAGCACGTAAAAAATAGTATCCGTCATGGCGCCCCACAACATGCAAGACGAAGGCCCCGCCGACCGAGAGCAAAGCCCAGACGGCGCTGAACTCCGGCCGCCATCTCCGCCACCCATGTCCGCCGACCCGCCGCGTCTTCTCGTCATCGGCGCCGGGTCTCGCGGCCGAGTGTACGCGAGATGCTCTCTTCAGTCGAGTAACGGCGTCGTCGCGGCCGTATGCGAGCCCGACGACTTCAAGCGCCACGATTTCGGCCATAGGTTCATCTGGGGAGAGAAGTCGTCGTCTCCGCCAGAAGGTACCAGCTTCAAGGACTGGACCGAGTTCTTGACATGGGAGACGGCCCGTCGCGAGCGCGAGAAGGCCGGAGAGGCCGTGCCCCCGGGCGTCGACGCCGCGTTCGTCTGCGTGCGCGACGAGATGCATTACGATGTCGTCATGGCTCTTGCCCCGCTTGGTCTGCACATCATGTGCGAGAAGCCGCTGGCGACGACACTGGATGCTTGCACGGGCATTTATCGCGCGCTGGCGCCGCTGCAGTCAAGCAAGGTCTTCTCCGTCGGCCACGTGATGCGGTACTCGCCGCACAACATCATGCTGCGGAAGCTGCTGCTAGAAGACCGTGCCATCGGCGATATCCTCACTGTTCACCACACAGAGCCCGTCGGGTTCTGGCATTTCGCGCATAGCTATGTTCGTGGTAACTGGCGCAAGGAATCCACCACGGCGCCGTCGCTTCTTACGAAATGCTGCCACGATATCGATCTCATCCTGTGGCTCATGTGTTCGCCGCCGCCCGGCGAGCCGGCTGCGCTCGAGCATCTTCCCTCGTCTGTGACGTCTACGGGTGCGCTGCAGTACTTCAGAAAAAGCAGGAAGCCAAAAGCCGCGGGAGAAGCGACCAACTGTCTCAGCTGTGCCATTGAGCCGGATTGTCTATACTCGAGTAAGCGCGTCTACATAAGTGGGCGGCACCAGGGTCTGGGGACGGGCAACGTGCGTTGGCCAGTTAGTGTCGTGCTCCCAGACATCGAGAGCTTCGGCGGTGACTTGGAAAAGGCCGAAAAGGCCATGTTGCCGATTCTGGCCGAAGACTACGACGCCTCGACGCCACAGGAGGTTATTGATAGCAAGAACTGGTTCGGGCGTTGCGTATGGGAGTCGGATAACGATGTTTGCGATGAACAAGTCGTCATCATCGGCTGGGACGAGGAGGAAGGAGAAAGTGTACAACAGCAAAGCGAGACGCGCGTGCGCGGCGCCAAGCAGGCTACTATCCACATGGTCGCACAGACCAAGAGGCAATGTCACAGATACACGCACATTTTTGGCACGCAAGGCGAGATCTACGCAGACTCCAAGACCATCACAGTCGAAGACTTCCGCACGGGCGAGAAGAGATCATACAGGCCCAAGATGGAGAGTCTAGGCCATGGTGGGGGCGACCATGGACTCACAAGGCAGTTCGTGCTCGCCGTCGATAGGGTGAAGAACGGTGGCTGGGAAGCCCCGGCCGCACAGCGCGAGTTTATCGGGTGTAGTCTGGAGGAGGTCGTTAGGAGCCACGCTATGGTATTCGCGGCCGAGGAGGCTAGAAGAGAGAAAAGAACTCTTGACTGGAAGGGCTGGTGGGATTCGAATGTCGGCGCTGTGTAGTAGTCTATTGATATATACCCTCCCTTTTCTATTACGGTGCGAAATTGCGCTCTACCTACATCCTATAGTACGTTATGGAGAAGAACTGGCTTTTGCCTGAATTATTGGAAATCTGACCTATACACATTGGCTGGGACTTATTGCCATTTCATATCGAAGTTTACTCCGTGAGAGAGTAGTGGACAAGTACTAGGGACCCAAGTTCCAGGTAGGTTAACCGCCCCAGGGGAGCGGAGCTACCCCTTATCACGTGGCACAATTGCTGCACAAAATCTTTCCTGCTGCCCCGCCTCCATCTCCAACTATTTGTCTAGTGCCCTCATTACATATGTAGTACATGGATGGTGGGGTAGGTAGATATCTTGAATTAAACTTTGCCGAATATCGGGAAAAGTATCACAAAGTTGACTTGTCTTGTTTTTAACAAAATATTTGACAACTCCCGTGTCAACATGAGACTCAAAGACGTACATCACTTGGAACTGCCGCCCACGGCGGACATGCACGTCCACCTGCGGCAGGGCGATGTATGTTCCACCTACATTACACACAGCCTTAACAGAGAGAGAGAGAGAGAGAGAGAGCTAACATGATATCAGGTCATGTCGTTGGTAGTTCCTCAAATCCGAAGAGGAGGTGTCGATACAGTATTTGTTATGGCACGTAAAAAAAAGACCCCCAAATTTTCCATGAAAATTTAAATTAGACCCGAAACCTTTGGCTAACATTTTGAATACATAGCCCAACTTGCAACCACCCGTCACAAGTGTAGCCGCTGCTCTGGAGTACAAGGCACAGCTTGAAGCTATCGAGCCCAAAGTCACATATCTGATGTCCCTTTATGTGTGTTTCTTTGCAGAAAATCCAGGACCAACAGAATAATGGTTTCATTAACAGCATGTAGCTTCATCCATCGGTCACACCCGAAGTTATCGCCGAAGCCGCAAAGGCCGGAATAGCAGGCGTCAAGCTTTACCCTCAAGGTAGGCAACTTACTATCTACACACCCGGGTGTAAAAGTCTGTTGTTGTACTAAAGATGAGTAATTGTAGGTGTTACTACGAACTCTGAATCGGGCGTAGCTGGCGACTTCGTCGAGACATATGCGCCCACGTTCGCGGCCATGGAGGAGCACGGCATCGTCCTCAATTTGCATGGCGAGGTGCCCGGAACTGTGCCAAAGGACGACGTATCTCTCGAAGAGCTATTCCTGCCCACTTTGAAGAGACTCAATGAGAAGTTTCCTAAGCTTCGCATCATCCTCGAGGTGTGTGGCGTGCCAGTTTTCTCGAAACGGTGTATCAAGATACTGACTGTTTTTGTTTTTTTTAGCACTGCTCAACCGCCGCGGCTATAGAGGCCGTGAGATCTTGCAGTTCAACCGTTGCAGGTATGACGAGCGAACAACTCGGCAAAATAGGTTCAAACTAGAGAACCCAATCAGACTAAACTCGCTACAGGAACTATAACGGCGCATCATCTCTATCTGACAGGCGATATAAGCGAGGTCGACCCTCATGCTTTCTGCAAGCCTATTCCCAAGAAACCCGCCGACCGCGACACTCTGTTGAAAGCGGCGTGTAGCGGCGATCCAAAGTTCTTCTTGTTAGTAATACCACTCCCCTTTTTCTTTTTCATACCTAACTTGGTTTTTTTTTTCCCCAGTGGAAGCGATAGCGCACCTCATCCCTTGATCTCCAAACAGGGCAAGAATGTGCCTGCAGGTGTATTCACACAGCCGTACGCTACGCAATTGGTCCTCCTGGCATTAGAAGAAGCGACTGAAAAGGGGATAATCGACGAAAAAGATGTCACAAAGGAAAATGTCGAAGGATTCCTCAGTCGCTTCGGAAGACGTTTCTATAAGTTGCCCGAGGAGCCCAAGGAGCGAGTCGTTGTGGAGCGGACTGGGGAGTCGATCCCCGAAAGTATCAAGACCGATGATGGAAAGCTGGCCATTGGCTTGTCGAAATCTGAGGCGACTGTATTTAGTCTACGGTTTGTTTCTCCTTAGATAAAAATTTGACTGCTGAATTTGCCAAATATTGGATATCATGTCTCTTATCGAGGGTTGAGGTCGTCGAAAAACGATTCCGATACGGAATAGGAACGACGTCATTGTTGTTCTCCAGAGCTACTCGTAGGTTACAACTTACGAGTACCACAGTACGTGTAGGCGCGAGTACAGTGCGCTGCGGTATGTACACGTATGTAACTAAAGTACCCCACACTGATCTACTCCGTGCATCGTGTACCTAGCTTTTGCTTGGCAAACATTTCTCCCTTTCCGACTAGGTAGATGAGAGAACAACCTAACAACAGCTATCTA